AGCAAGTCTATCCCAGTTAAACTCATGCAATTTATTACTCAGAGCCTTCTTTGAGGCAATGCCATGGGTAAAAATTTTAAATTCAAATAATACTTACAATCGTTCTATTTGAGTGAATTTTATTTGATTACTGCGGTCTTAATTAACCTAATGACTATTTTTTTTTCTTCAGACCCTTTGGAAAAATTACAAAATTATCCCATTTTATTCTTCATATTCCACTTCATTACCATCTTTCCTGGACCTTAAAAAGACTAATCTATCACTTTCTTTTTCATACACAGAAAATTATTTTGAAGCAAGATTAAGGAATTTACTTAATCCTAACAGCTGGAACCAGCTCCTGGTCTTGTGAAACTCACTCTGGCCTTTCTGCCATATTATTATTTTTTATCATTCTAAATTATTCTTAGACTGTGGAGTGAATTATCCATATGCCTTAAAATAAGGAATTGAATTAAGCAAATAGTTTATATTAGTAGCATTTGCTTTGCTAATCACTTGAGATGCAACAGATTTTACTTAATGTATTACTTGTTTTAATTATATAATGTTTCATTCTTTTCACATGGATTTTTGTGGTATCTTTTATTTTCCTATACTTGTTCTACTGTTAAAATGAAGAACTGGAATAGAATCAAACCACCCATGTTTAAATTCCAGTTTTACAAAAAAGAAAACTCATCAATGATTTCAAACTTAAGACATTTAAAGCAGAAGGTATTTCTGATTTGGTCAATTTCACTGCAATATGCCATGAATTTTATGTATAGAAAATGAAATTGTGCAAAGGAGGAGGCTGCAATGCTTGGTAAGAAATGTATGCATTTTCCTGCCCATGTAATTGTAACCCCTCTGTACAGTATGTTTTCAAATAAAATAAAATAAAATAAAATAAAATAAAATAAAAAAAAAAAAGAAAATGAAATTGTGACAATACTGAGTTGGTGTAACTCAGAATGATGACACATGCATGCAAGTGGTAGGTGGTCTTGAAGACAATGAATTGTTCTCTGAAATTCACAGAGTGGTCAGTCTTTGCTGTGAAACAAGTGGGCTGGAGCCGTCAGAGTGCGTGTACAAAACATGATTCACTCATCCCCAAAGCTGCCAGGAACAAAAGGAGTTTCCACTCATTTATGTGCAGGCAACGGAATATTTCTCCATGTTTCCATCTTTCTCTTTGCTTCTTTGTGTCTCCCCCACCCCCAGCCCCTTGATTCTGTCTCTTTTTTTCTGTCTCATATTCTCTGTGTGATAGAAACACTAATTTGATGTTTCTTTAACACACAACTCTTCTGACAGTTTTTGCTTTTGGAAATGGCTGTACAAGCTGCATGCTGTGGATCAGTGATGAGAGCTGTGGGGGGCATTGTCTGACCTGTGCTTAAGTTTTGCCCTCTGCAAACCTTTCTGTTCACCCCATTCATACTGTTAGCCGTTTCATAGGACAACAATATGAATGGGGTGAGCAGGTAATAGAACTACTGTAGACTTGAACACAAGACACGATGGTGACTAAGCAAGGGGAAGGCAGCTTTTCTGCTGCTGTCGGGCTTGATGCTGGCATCTTCTGATCTTTCTTACAATGAGTAAACCTAAGAATGTAGTAGTATCTAGTGGCTGATTTCTGTCCAGATTCCAGGTACAAAAGCAGCTTGGACAGAAAAGTTCAAGAGACTCCATCTCCAAAGCAACCAGCAAAAACAAGGGCTGGTGACATGGCTCAAGTGGTAGAGCACCAACTATGTAAACAGGACCAGCAAGTGTGAGACTTTGAGTTCATACCTCAGTATTGGGGATGTGGGGAAAACTCTGCAAGAATTGTAAGGGTGAAACATTGCTATTGGACAATAAAAACCCTAGATTGCCAGTGTGACACTTCTGAGTGGTCAGTATTCTAACAGGCTTACATCAATATTTAGCAGTAAAATGTATTACCCTCTGCCTTTCTGTAGTGTGGAATTTTCAAAAGAAAAAGGAAATGCTGAGCCACAAACTTTTGGTACAAATTCAATCCCACCATTGATGTCATAGACTTTGCATCAGCAGTTCATGGGCCATTTTGGTAGAAGACAATGACACTGAAGGTCTAATCAGATAATAATGTCCTGCTGCATCTGGGTTTTTACTCTCTACTGCCTTTGACTGTTTGGGTACTTTGAAAATTATTCTGGATTCAAGTTTATTACTAATTCTTGAACCGTTGCTAGCACCCTAATGTCTTGCTGCTTATGCTAAAATGATAATAGTGACTAGAAAGTTTATTTTTATATTAGTTGACAGAATAGCCAGATGATACAGCATGAATTAAAGACTCTTTACATTTTCCTACAACATGTACTAGATTCATTATTCCCTGGGAATCTATTTCAGATTCATGCTCTACTAAACTATTTTTCCTAGCTGTTGGATTTCTAGCTTTTTAAAAAGCTTTATAATGGATAAAGAGATGATAATAAATACTAAATATTTTATCTTAAACTTTAAAAGCATTCTGATTGTTCTTATTAAAAATAGAAAAATAACAATTTCTGCTTCACAATCGATATAAGGAGCATTTGCCATATATACATGCATACATATGTTTATTTGCCATGCCTCTGTTCCAGATCTTTGTTAGTTAATTGGAAATGGACTCTTAAGAACTTTTCTGCCTCCTGAGTAGCTAGAGTTATAGACATGAGCCACCAGTGTCGCTTGGAAAATAAAATCCACAAGGAAATATTGAGGATCAAAAAAAATGGTTAAGGATTGGCTTGTTTTTAATGTATCTAAAATGTACTATGTGATTTTTTTATTTCTTTTTTATGTTCCTCTCTCATAGTATAACCCCTGTTTTCACTGTATTTGATGTCGGTGCCCTGCATCTTGTATATATATTTTTCTAATTTGGGAAGGGGAAGGGAAATAGCAAAATGCTGAAACAAGGATACAGGTTGACCATTGTAACAATGAGATGTACAAGACACTATGTTGATCCCTGGTGGTGAAGGAAATGCAAATAAAGACAACCCTGAGATACCACCTTACCCCAGTCAGAATGTCCCACATCCACAAATCAGCCAACGACAAATGCTGGAGGGGATGTGGAGAAAGAGGAACCCTATTACACTGCTGGTGGGAATGTACACTTATACAACCACTTTGGAAAGCAGTCTGGAGGGTCCTTAGAAAGCTAAAGATTGACCTCCCTTATGACCCAGTCATACCACTTCTAGGCATCTACCCTGAACAACAGGAACCAATATACAAGGACATGTGCACCTCCATGTTTATTGCAGCACTGTTCGCAATAGCTAGGATATGGAAACAACCTAGGTGCCCCACCACAGATGAATGGATCCAAAAATTGTGGTATCTATACACAATGGAATATTATGCAGCCATTAGAAATGACAAAATAATGGCATTTGCAGGGAAATGGATGGAGCTAGAAGGAATCATGTTGAGCGAGGTAAGCCAAGAACGAAGAGACAAACGGTACATGGTCTCCCTCATAAGTGGATGCTAAATCCAAAAGGTTAGGTGATACGACAAAACTAACAGGACTTAAGAAACAAAGAACTCCCGCTCATCTGGTTGAACCACTACTAAATATCCTCATGCTGCTGATCACAAATATGGTATATAACATGTGAACACTGTTATATATTACAGACTGTGGTAGACAATTTGCTCCAGGGAAGTTAGAATGAACTTGTGACTTTGAAATTATGTAATCATTTAATCACAATCAAAAAAAAAAAAAAAAAAAAGAACCTCGGGGAAGGGAGGGAGGGAGGGGATGGTAGGGGGAAAACAATGGAGGGGGTAACAATGTTCAAGAGGAAGTGTACTCATAACCTCACTCATGTAACTGTAACCCTCTGTATAGTAGCTTTACAATAAAAAAAAAAAAAAAACTAGCCTGGGCAGGAAAAGCTGTGAAACTCTTATCTCCAATATACCACCAGAAAACCAGAAGTGGCACTATAGCTCACATGGTAGCATGCTAGCCTTAAGCTGAAGAGCTGAGGGACAGTGCTCAGGCCCAGAATTCAAACCCCACAATGATGACCACCACCACCAACAACAAAAAGAATGATTGACTAATGCCATATGCTGGTGGCTCATACCATAGTCCTAGCTATTCAGGAGGCTGAGATTTGAGGATTGCTACTTGAAGCCAACTGGGGCAGAAAATCCATGAGATTTTTTTTTTCAGTCATGGGCTTGAACTCATGGCCTGGGCGCTGTCCCTGAGCTCTTTTGCTCAAGGCAAAAGCTATACCACTTTGAGCCACAACTCCACTTATGTTTTTTGAGCAGTTAATTATAGACAGGAATCTCATGGGGACTTTTCTGCCCTGGCTGGTTTCAAATCATGATCCTCAGATCTCAGCCTCCTGAATGGCTAGGAGTGAGCCACCAGTGCTTGACTTCTTTGAGACTCTTAGCCACAATTAACCACCAAAAGGCTGCAAGTGAAGATATGGCTCAAGTGGCAGAGCACTAGCCTTGTTCAAAAAAGCTAAGGAACAGCGCCCAGGTTGTGAATTCAATCCCCAGTACTGGCACACAAAAAAAGAAGAAAACAAAAAGAGTAACTGCTTATCATTGGAAGATTACTCCAGATTTTTCTGGATCTCTTGGAGATAATTTCATTTAGACTAAATTTTGGAGCACTACTTCCTCACACTCAAAAGAGGAAGAAGAGACATGCACATTTAATTAGTTGCACTTTTTAATTATTTATTTGTTTTGTGAGGGTGATGTACAGAGGGATTATGGTTACATAAGTCAAGTAATGAGTATAATTCTTTTGAAAAATGTCACCTCCTCCCTTATTTCCCCCCAGTTTTTTCCATCCCAACCTTCCTCCTCTACAAGTTGTATAGTTCATTGTCATATAGTGTTTAGTTAGTATCTCTGCTGCATTTGTTCACCCTTTGTCTCGCCATTTCTGTGATCTCCCTCACCCTCCTCAAAGACATAAACTTACGTACAAGACAAAAGGTAAAAATATAGAATGCTTCACAAATATGCATGCCATTCTTGTTTCAGAACCATGCTAATCTTCTAGTATCAATCCAATTTTAGTATATGTGCTACCAAAGTGAACACTAATTAGATATTTTTTATGGGAAAAGTAGAAAGATTTACCTTAATTCATTCACCTATAAGCAATAAATATTAAAGAAATCTGGCAGTTAAAGGAGTCAGACATTTTGATTAGGAGGTAAAAGAATGAAAAACTGCCAAGCACTGGTGGCTCCTAGCTACTCAGGAGGCTGAGATCTAAGGATCCAGGTTCAAAGCCAGTCAGTGGGAACTTTCGTCCACGAGAATCTTATCTCCAATTAACCATCAAAAAACTGGAAGTGGGGGGGGGGAGGGAGATGGGAAGGGATAGGAAGGGGAAACAAAGGAGGAGGCAACAATGCTTGATAAGAAATGTACTCATTATCTTGCCCATGTAATTGTAACCCCTCTGTACAGTATTTTCACAATAATAAATAAATAAATAAATATAAAATAAAAAACTGGAAGTGGAAAAAAAAAAAAGACACTATGTTGAAAACGAACTTTACAACTTGGGAGGGAGAGGGAAGTTGGGAATGTGGGGAGGGAAGGGATAGTAGGGGAAAAACAAAGGAGGAGGTAGCAATGCTCAATAGGAAATATACTCATTACCTTACTCATGTAACTGTAACCCCTCTGTACACTAATTTACAATAAAACATAAATAAATAAATGGTTAAGGATCAGAAGCCCTAACTTTTTATTTCCTTAATAGGCAAATTATTATTTATGCAGTGATTGATGAAGGACACTATCCACTTCAAATAACAGTTCTCCTTTTAAAATTAGTATTATCTCTAAGTAGTTGTACAAAAAAGGATTTCAATTCAATGTTGCACTCAATCATAGTTCTGTTTCTGATATTTCAAATTATTCTGTCTCTCATCTGTTTACCCTGTTTGCTATCTGGGGTCTCATGTCTTATCTGCGGTCATTATATTACTGTGTGTGTATCACACAGAGAATGTGAGACACAGTCTTAAGTGAGAATGTGTGACAGAAAAGCAAGACTCAAAGAGAGACAGAAAAGGGGCAAGTAAAGAGAGGCTGAAAAGACAGAGAGAAAGAGTTCTCATGTCCCTCACATAATGCAGTTTTTGAATTTCCTTTCTCCTTGTGTCTTTGCTTTCTTATGTCTTTAATTTCTTTGGCATTAAAGCTACCTATCTGTAACTTAGAAATCCATAAAGAGGTTCTCAGAACCATATCCCAAGCTTTACCCCATGGTAGAGCTGTCATGTGCCACTTAGATCCCTTGTCCTGGATTGAAGCATCTTTCCCCAGGTTCTGGACTTGTTGGCAGCTGAAACCTAATAGCTAGGTTCTTCTTTTTAGAGATTGTCCTCAGCCTTGAGCTGTCTCACTGAAGCTCTTTCATCAGTCTCAGGATAGCATGCATTCAATAACTTTGATTTGGGGATACAAAGTCCCTTACTTCAATTCAGGACAATGTGTAGGACTTGAAGGGTCTGGTGTGGCTCTTGTGGTAACTATACACCAGCCCAGCTATTCCCACCACCTTGCCTGGCTTTGTGACCTCTACCATCAGAGCTGACCCCAAGAACCTCACTGAGAAAGTTGCACGCAAAGCCTCATGTGTAGGTCAGGTTCCAGAGAAAACTGACCTGCAGCAGTTACTACAGCTGGATTAGGCAGGGCACAAGTGTATGAGGATGTGATCATGGCACTGTGTGAAGGTATTGTCTCTGGAATAAGATTTGTGACCATAGTTGAGACCCTTTCTGTAAAAGACAGAGATAATAAAACCTACCTCTTGTAGCTGATAACTATTTAGTACCTGCATTTAGGAAATTTTCATCATAATTGCTAGTAATTACCTATAAATACTCCATAAGTAGCACATGAGTTCTGACCAGTCAGTTATAGTACAGAACATGTGTTAATTGCATTTACTATAGTAGAGTAAGGAAGTTAATAAGACCTGCAATTGTAAATAATTCTTTGATGGTCCTCCTTAATAAAGCATGTGGAGAAATTATGTTGGGTACCAAAGGGAACCTAAAGTGATTAAAGAGATTTAAAAAAAAGCCCATTCATGGGTTGGGAATGTGACTTAGTGGTAGAGTGCTTGCCTAGCATGCATGAAGCCCTGGGTTCAATTCCTCAGTACCACATAAACAGAAAAAGGCAGAAGTGGCGCTGTGGTTCAAGTGGTAGAGCATTAGCCTTCAGCAAAAGAAGCTCAGGGACAGTGCCCAGGCCCTGAGTTCAAGCTCCAGGACTGGCAAAAAAGCCCAAACAAATCAAAAAAACCCCAAAACATTTAGTGATTAACAATTAAAATACTGGAATGGTTAAAGAGAAATAAACTGAAGCATAGCTTGCCTTCTAAACTAAATGCTTTCTTGGAAGAGGATACTGGATCCTTTGAGTCTATACTGAAACTGAGCCCAGGGCCTCCTGCATGGTAGGCAAGCACCTTGCTACTTGAGCACCACCCCTCCCCCCACCAAAGCCATGATATTAGACATCTCTTTGGTACTTGTTCACCAGAGACAGACAAGAGGAAATGGGTATAAATTAAAGGAGGAAGATAGTTGGGTCTATATCACGGGAATTTAAAATTGTGAAACAGAAACTTATAAAAAATCTTCAATAGGGGATGGGAAGGTGGCTCAGAGGTAGAGTGCTTGCCTTGCATGCATGAGATCCTGAGTTCAATTCCTCAGCACCCCATAAGCAGATAAAACCAGAAGTGGCACTATGGCTCAAGTGGTAGAGCACTAGCCTTAGCTGAAGACCTGAGGGACAGCTCCCAGGCCTAGAGTTCAGGCCCCACGACCAGAAAACAAACAAACAAACTTCAATAAATAAATAAAAGAAGAAAGCTAAGCTGAGACAACCTTTAGTCCTGAGTGACCAAATGCTTTCCAGGGAATCTGAGAACAGAGAATCCCGTGATTCCAGAAGTGACATTTCCTAGAAATGCACTTTAGAAAGAAACCCAAACCACCTATGTTTTTATTGCAAATGGTCTCTTTGAATCTAAATATATCTTTATGTGCTGTTCTGGAAACCTAGTAAACATTTTCTTTTTCATCAAATAGGTGACTTTATGTGTATTTAAAAATTATTATTATGACTTTCAATTTTGCTATTTGCTGTCTCTTCATATTCTATAAAAAAAGCCTGTCATCCTGAACCATCTGTTTTTTTATTTGTTCTATTTAAATATATCTTTTTATTGTAAAGATACTGTACAGAGGGGTTACAGTTACATGAGAAGGTAATGAATCCATTTCCTAGCGAGCATTGTTACCCTTCATTTGTTTTTCCCCTACCATCCCTTTCCTCCCCACCTCCCCTGAACCATTTGTTTGTACCAATGTAAGCTTTTTTTGTGTGTGACATAGATCTTGTGATGGCATTGCTTTAAGACTGATGAGTATTATTCTGAAGGGCTTTGGAATAACAGCAGGGATTTTTTTCAATCAATTGCTTAGAGATAAGATTAAAGAAAAGATATGGGACTAGATTTTTACGATAAATCTTCTAAGATCTCAGTTTTGTAAGATATGAGAAAACCATTAAGAAGCCATTAGTAATAAGTCTATTGGATTTTGCATTTCTCCTTGACTCTTCTTGTCAAACAGTAGCAGGAAAAGGCAGTATGGTGAAGATGTAAAAACTACAGATACCTTTTCCAGTTCCTGCCTCCTAAGATGCATAAATTACAATACAGCAACCTTCTTTCAAAGATACCCAGAAGCCCTGAGTCCTCACCTCTACCAGTGCAGACCAGGGACCCACCATACCTTTACCTACCACAGCTCTGCCTTCCTAGTCTCTCTTTTAACATAGACAGACAGGTCTTATTTCACTGGATTAAATGAGCTCATTGCTAAAAAAGTAAGTTTGGAAGATATCTTTACTGATTCCTATACCTATTCTATCTCATTCTTCCTGGGACTGCCAAGCTGCAGTCCTTCATGTGACTATGACCCACAGAATAAAGCACACAGTCTTTCCTCTGACTGTCTAAGACTCTCTCCGCATCATCCAGAAAGACTACCATATCAGTGAAATTAGACTGTGAACTCTAACATAAAATTATCTTGATTTAGATATTAAGTACAACACCTGACACTGTGTTTGCAATCACAAATGATTAATTTGCTTGAACTTTCTCTTTGGCATTTTTCTCAGCCTTGGCCTTACTTTTTTTCTAAGCTACCTTCTAGGCCAACTAAAACATTCTTTTCCTTTTGAGCATACCTCAGAGCACATGATTTTCCACAAGGCCTTGGGTATTCTAACGCCTATTGAAATTCTGTCTGACAACGTTGTTAAGTAGATTGTTGGAGCACCAAGCTTTCTGTTTGCTTCCAGGGTTATCAGAGAGCCCTTTACCAGTCACAATGACCTTCTCAATGTCCCTCCCACTCCCCACGCAGAAAAGGTAAGTAATTGAACCATTCCAAAATACACACCTTTAATGTAATGTATGCATTGAGACAGGAAGGCAAATGTATTTTGGAAATAAATTTCAGCAACATGAATGAAAATAAAAGTAATATGTCTCTCTTGTTTCCTTGAGTACAACACACTGGAGTGCAAAGCACTCGCTTAAGATGTGGTAGTAGAGGCTTTCAGACTACTTTGTTTCACTTTGCATTCTTCGGCAACTCATTTGTCCCATGTGGCCTTTTTACTGATGATGACAATACTGATATTCTGTGTTTGTGTACCTCACAGAACACTTTGGCATGTTATTTAATTTCAGCCTCCTGTGTCCTATGAGTAACTATCAGTCCAGAAAACCCACACATCCTAATATGGTAAACCATACAGCAGACACAACTTGAATTTGCTGGTCCAAACTTTACTATTTTATTCCTAAAAGTGTCTGGCTTGTGTACTAGCAGAATGGACTTTAGTCCTAAAAGTGTGTGGCTTGTGTACTAGCAGAATGGACATCATTCTGAGGTTGTTAAAAAAAATTCAGATTTGGGACAGGTATGTCAGCACATATTTGAGTTCCCAGCTACTTGAGAGGCAGAAACAGGAGGATCATGGGTTCA